TCTGCACAATGTGACTTTGCTGCAGCCTGGAATTGAACTGCTGGTTTCGTCTGGCCAGAGGAGAACTGGCCCCCGACTGAGCCTGGTTTCTCCCAAGGTTTTTTCTCCATTCTGTCACCGATGGAGTTTTGGTTCCTTGCCGCTGTCGCCTCTGGCTTGCTTAGTTGGGGACACTTAATATCCAGCGATATCGTCGACATGACTGCACAGATACTATTTAAACTGAACTGAGCTGGATGATGACATCACTAAATTCAATGATGAACTGCATTTAACTGAAAATGGGATGTTTACTATTATCATTTTGCATTATTGACACTATTTTCCTATTTAATGCTGTAAAATTGCTTTGACACAATCAGTATTGTTAAAAGTGCTATATAAATAAAGGTGACTTGACTTGATGTTTTCCCCACATGCATTGCTAAAAACTTAATTTGAAAAACTTTAAAGGCGATATTCTCAATATTTTTATTTTTTTGCACCCTCAGATTCCAGATTTTCAAATTGAGTTGTATCTCGACCAAATATTGTCCTATCCCAACAAACAATACATCAATGGAAAGCTTATTTATTCAGCTTTCAGATTATGTATAAATCTCAATTTTAAAAAAATTACCCTTATGACTGGTTTTGTGGTCCAAGGTTTAGAACAATTTAGAACAATGCAAAGAATACAAACATCATTAGAAACTCAATCGAGAGTTCAGCAACACACACCATGAGAGGGGTTAAAATTAAAGATTAAAAAGAGCCAATTTCTCTCTGGCCAGTTTTAGCGTATTGAAATAAAGAAATGAGAATCACTAAACATGATAATTTATGTTACAATTTTAACAAATGCACATTGTTCATGGCAGCATCCCCTACCTTTTACACATTTACTCAAATTGTTATGCTGATAATAATGCATTAAATAGGGAACAGGGAAGTATTTCTGGGAAAACTTTTTCAAAAGAAAACACACACACACAGTGAATAAGCTGCTATCAGCAACATCAACAACTGAATGAAACAAAGTGCTTAACTTGCAAATTGTTTTTGTGCGAGTGCACTTGCTAAATGAAGGCAGATTGTATACAATGGATCAAACAAAAAACGTTGTTTATTAATGAGCTGCAG